CAGAAGAACATGACAACGGGCCAATTAAAGACAGCCGAGCGCTCACATGCTCTCATCCACTGGGATTCAGGCCATTGTGGGTTTATTATGTCTAGTGTGAAACGGAATATCTAATGAATACGTGTTGAAGTCGCGCTGTCAGGAGCGTTATTAGCAACTCTGTGTAAGCGCACGCGCGCGCGCGCTCGTGTGTGTTTGTGTAACGGCCCACGCGCAGTCTGTAGGAGCACAGATGGACACACACACTCTTGGAACAGTGATACTGTCTGGACGCTGAAGCCAATATCCCAAAATAATTTCCCAAATGGCACATTCACTTGAGCTGTATAAACCTTCATCCTGGTAAACAATGAATCATGGAGCAGAAACCCCAAGCTTGCTTTCTTCAGTTGGCTTTAGTTTCTATCTTTTAGGTTGTGTCGGCTGTGATTTGCCTTTTATGAAGACGCCAAGTGAAATAAGATTCAATTGGTTGTGTAGATGTTTAAGTCTTTATCTTACAGACATAAAGGTCTAAGTTTTAAAGGGATAGTTCAGCCAAAAATGAAAATTCTTCCATTATTTACTCACCCTCATGCAGTTATTTTAGAACGATTTATTTTTTATTAAAAGTCCTCAGTTAGCTTATTTTTATATTGACCAATCATGAATTAATTGAGAACAGTTTAAGAAAAATGTAATGAAGTCAGAAATCTTGTCAGAAAGAGCTTTAAAGGGACAGTTCACCCAAAAATATAGATTCTGTCATCACTCAGATAGCACAAGTCTATTTGATGTAATGTTTACATCTGGAAGACGTATTTTTAAGAGTGTTTGCTCATCTGAAATACGTCTATAGGACATTTCCTGTCAGATGTCAAATAGACGTTTAGAAGATGTCTTTAAGATGTAATGATTTAGAATGCATGTTAGACTGACATCTGCTAAACGTCTATTTTACATCTGACAGACGTATTGCTGATGAGCAAACGCTCTAAAAAAATACATCTTCCAGATGTAAACATCAAATCAAATAGACTTGTGCTATCTGGGTTTATTTTATTTTTAAAACTCACAGATTTTTGTTTATATATGTAAAAAGAAGACATTCTGCATAAATTCTGTCTCCTTTTGTGTATTATGGAAGAAAATCATAGACAATAATGACAGAATTTGGGGTGAATTGTCCCTTTAAAGATATATATCTTTCATAAACCCCTAAACTCAAAGTAAATATTCTGAACAGATTCTAAAATGTCTTGAAAGCAAATTGATTTTCTCCTGAAAGCCACTCCACCAAACAGGCCTGAAATTCAAGGAGGCCCAAACCAACCAACCAACCGTCTGCAGCCACGTGAGAGCGAAACTAAATCACCAGAGCTAATCAAGATGCTTTAAACGACCTCGTGGCACGAATCATTCAGATATGATTGTTTTCCAGCGCTGCATTCAGAGTGGATGAAATAGAGGCTGTGGACGGATGGAGAGCTCGAGTCTCGAGTCTGCAGTGTCAGCTACTCTCTGCAGGACCGAAGGAAGCAAACGCTAATAAATCAACCGAGCTTTTAATCTCCAGAATGACTCATAATAACACTTTCACTGAAACACGAGCGACTCGGAGAAGCTGCCTGCTAGATGAACCGCGCACACATTGTGTTTTCATGTTTTGTGGGGACTTTCCATGGTTTTTATACTGTACAAACCGTATACACTAACCCCATCAAAAATAACTTTCTGCATTTTCTAAAAACACCATGTAGTATGATTTACGAGCATTTTTCCTCATGGGAACCAAAAAAATGCCCCTACAAGTACAAGGGTTTCGGGTATTGCCAGCTTTTGGGGGGACATTTTGTCCTCATAATGTGTTTACCACCTCGACCACACACACATACACAAGAAAGGTTTTTTTTGGAATTACAACTCAAACTCCTCAAAATATAAACATACACACACAAATAAATTTACATACAACATGTACAACACAAAGCAGATGGACCAGAGACGTCCAACAGGGCACAAAACACCTCAGGCACACAAAAATGACGCACAACAGACAAAATGGCAAAACATAATAAACAAAAGTGCACAGCACATACAAAAACACCCAAAAGAGACATGTAAACACCAAAAGACTAGCGCATTCAGCACAACACTGGTGTTTTCATTTCGCAGATGTTGTAAGGGGGCGCAGTGTGTTTTACTTGGCCCTTGAGGGTTAAATTAATGCCCCCATCAAGGGAGGATCCATCAAGATCACCATGACGACCACCCGAGTCGCGGGCACGCGCACTGCATCAGCACGTGAACGGGCCCGAACTTCCAGTTCCACGTCGAACCGAAACGAACAGGCAAAAATAACAGCGCTAACGTCACATGACAATAATTCAGCATAACTGCAGCACACGTGTCTGAAATACGCATGGCACACTAATAAATTAATGCATGAGGTAATATATTATTTATTCACATTCATATTATTAGATGAAAACTCGCGACAAGTGCAGAATATGTACGTGATATGTGAGCGCTCATAAACACGAGATTATAAGCGCTTATGTTTGTTCTTACCTTCAACAGTGTCTGTTTCTCCCTCTCCTGCTCACACACACTTTCATCCATCAATTAACGCGCAATACAGCATCATGCACGTGCAGGATTCGACCACATCTGACGCGCGCGCGTTTAGATCAGATCTGAAGTGTGTATGGGTTTTCCTCTGCGCATGATGAAGATCTGAATGCAGAAGTCCCACCCCTGCAATGCAACTTCAGCACCAACACACACACACACACACACACACACACGCACGCAAGCAAGCAGGCGCGCGCGCTCGAATAGGGGTGAAGGGGCTAGTTGCCATACTGAAAATTCCTCAGGGACGATTTAGGCAGATTAGTACGGAGTATTAGCTACAAAAATAAATAAATGAGCGAGAAAGAAAGGAAAAAAGCGAATTTGTTACCCTAGAAAAGGATTCAGTTAATTAAAGTTTAAACTAACGCCAAGCTTTTGTGAAAATACGCAGCACCAATAGCAACACTACAATGGAACCTGCCATTAAACAATTATATTTAAACAGCAAATGTGTCATACGACAAAAAAAATCAAAAACATCATTTTGGCAATCAAATATTGGAATTAATAGGCAGGCTATGATATTTATGGGCCTATACAACACTTAGAACAGCGATCTTCTAGCACTGTACCTTCATTTGATAAGATATTGGTATTTTGTTAGACAAAAACGGCAAAAATTTCGTTTAGATAGAATGATAGACAGATACAGATCCAGTATAGACAGACGCAGATATTATAGACAAACAGATCATATGCAATGGTATTTTAATGGTGCTCTAACTGTCTGTCAGTCATATAATGGAGGTCTATGGTCACCACCTCAAAGAGCATGCACAGAGAAGTCCCAGTAAAACATGATTTAATGACTCGTAAATGTAAGTACACATTGATGGCCTAAGACACGAAACGAGCGGTATTTATATCGTTTCTACCCTAAGGCCCCGTCCACACTACTGCGTTTTCGTTTAAAAACTGAGAATTAAAACGAAAACGATCTCCGTCCACACTAGCGTTTTACCTGCGTATTACAATTTATCTCCGTCCACACTAAAACGACTGAAAACGTGGATCACGTGACCATTCACCAACACTGGGCATGCGCGCGTCTGTGTAAACAGTGGTTGGCGAATCAGGGAAAGATACGTCATGACTGATGACACCCAATCATAGAGCCGAGCGTGAGCCTCTGCGTCATCGTTTGTAAACTCCTCCGTTTTGTCTCGTCCACACTAAAACGCCCTCCGGAGATTCAAAACGCAAAACGCAGCTGCAGCGTTTCTAAACTTCTCCGTTTTAGGTCTTTTAGGTCTCAGTTTTTAAACGAAAACGCAGTAGTGTGGACGGGGCCCAAGGTTGTTCCAAACCTGTATCAAGTTCTTTCTTCTGCTGAACACAAAAGATGAAGAATGTTGATTACCAAGCAGTTGATGGACCCCATTGACTTCCACTGTCAACCTTCTATGGGGTCCATCAACTGTCTGGTGACTGACATTCTTCAAGTGAATTATGCTTTTTAAAGGGATAGTTCACTTTGAAATAAATGTTTGGTATGTTTCAGCTTACCTGAAGGGCATCCAAGGAGTAGGTGTCTTTGTTTCTGCAGTATTTTCAATTTTGATATTTTCAAAGAGCATGCACAGAGAAGTCCAAATTAAACATGATTTAATGACTCGTAAATGTAAGTACACATTGATGGCCTAAGACACGAAACGAGCGGTTTGTGTGAGAAAACGAACAGTATTTATATCGTTTTTACCTCTTGTAACCACAGCTCACACAAACCGCTCGTTTTCTTTTTTTGTTTTTTTCTCTCACACAAACCGCTCGTTTCGTGTCTTAGGCCATCAATGTGCACTTATATTTACAAGTCATTAAATCATGTTTAATTTGGACTTCTCTGTGCATGCTCTTTGAGGTGGTGACCATAGACCTCTATATGACTGACAGACAAGAACGGTTTGACCTAAAAATGTCAAAATTAAAACTACTGCGGAAACTAAGACACCTAATCTTGGATGCCCTTGAGGTAAGCTAAAACATATCAAAAATTAATTTCAAAGAGAACTATCCCTTTAAGGTGATAGCAATTCAGAATTTGTCTCCGACTGGTCAGGATCAACATAAACTCCCATTTTATTTTTTTTACCGTGTATCTTCAGTTCAAAAGCTATTTAGGTTACTGTTCAAGTATTATGATTAACAGTAAATAAATCAGACTTACAAGATACAAATTGTCCCCATGAAATTAAACATTTATTTACAGAATGCCAACCACTAGAGTAGCAGCAATTTCAGAGGAGTGATGCCAAGGAAACTTAGTGTTGCCGTGCGATTACAGAAAATAAAGTCTAAACTGCCCTCTTGATATTAGAGTGTAAAAGATAAAATTCATCTCAGAGCCCTACGATCAGTGTTAATAGACAGTTTTTATAAAAACTGAGCAGGTGAAGTCAAACTTAGACAAAATCATTTGTTCAAAACTCAATAGTAAAGTTAAATAAAAACACGTTGAGAGGAAAAAACTATAAAAAAGCAGAGCTAAAATATTTACAATTCTGCAACAAACTCACAATCATTTACATCTCCATAAAAGCTTTTTTTGTCTTCATTGATGCCCATCAGTTCATTCGAGCCGCTTTCGATCCACCGTGCTCAGCGTGTGATGGTTGAGTTCAAAACTCCAGTCTTGATGTTGGATTTCGAAGCATTTGAGAGCTCCCGCTGTAGGCAAAAAATACAAAATAAATTGCTAATATTCTGTCACATGACTGTTTGACAGACCACAACCATTCATGTTCATGCATCTTTAGGTCTTAAAGCGGCAAGGTTCGCATTTAATTAAACTGCTCGTGTAATGTCAATGGTATGACCCATTTCAGGGGTGGCCAAAACACAGGCTAAACCACAAACTCCATGTGCTTTCATGGGGTCTCTACAAACAGCGGATTGGATTTCAGTTGTGCTTCCGTCAGTCGCTGACAGTTAGAAGCTGAAAGAACCCTTCTCCATTAGTCGGGTTAGGTGAGAAAAGTGTGTTAGTGTGATGGACAGTGAACGTTCTTAGACATACAGACCTGGACGTTGCAGTGGATTCAGAATCCTTCTATAACAGAAGGCAGAATAAGCACACGGGGGTCACTCGATTGCATCTGCTGCCTGTGTTTCTAGACCGTAACGGCAAGATGAAGAACTTACCGCAAACTCCGAGTAGGAGGAGGCCACGGACGTGATGGAGTAGTTTCTGTGAGGGCTGGCGGCCATCGTGCGCAAAGCTCCGCTCAGATGAGAAATATTCTCCTTATTCTTCTCCAGACCACGGGGGGTTCGGCCACGAGCAGGCATTCGCGTGCCCAACTAGCGGAGAAGCATTTTATATTACTATTGATGATAATAAAAATGTATGTTTAATATAATAGTGTGAAAAATCCAATGTTTAAAAAAAGCATAACTCACCTTGCTAGAGGAAAGGGGCGGTCTCATAGAAGGGGAGGAGCATATGGAACGGAGTGTGGTGTTTGGGGTGCAAATGCTAGAGGTGGACATCAGCTTTAAAAAACAATTGTGTCGTTTAAAAAAAGGAAAGAAAATCAATAAATCAGCTCAACATATTTAAAAAAAAAAAAAAAAATCAATTCCTCCCGATTCAAATCTAATGACCAGCTTGTCAATGCACATTTTCTTTTGTAGTCGACAGAAGTGTAAAAAAAGATTTTTTTTAAATATATTTTCAGGTTTTTTTGTACATGTATATGCAAAAAAATTATCTATAAAACTAGTCAACCGTTCTCTGAGATTTGTTTTCACAATCCACTTCGCAACTGCTTCGTCTCGAGCAGTCGAACCATGACCGCTGAGCCAAGTTATGGCTCGTTCACATCTCACCAGCGCACTTGGCTCGGCGTTCGTGGTTCGACTGCTCGAGACTGTTTTCCAAAGATGGCTCCTGCCTGGTTTTACGAAGTGGACTGTCTTTATAAAATATCTTCTTTTTAAATGGTCTGTACACTTCCAAAGTTCTCAATGCTTCGTTTTGCATGTATGGACCCTCATTATGTTACTGTGTTAGTGAGGGGCTATTTTGAGCCTTGTTAGTGGTATAAACTAGCGATTTTTATTTTCATTACTCTATGCCCCATATACTAGCGTTATAAGCTTAGGGTTCATACACATTTTACCCAATACTTTTCGGCACATTT